AAAATTAATATTAAATAAATATAATATTACAATTTTAGAACACTAAAAATTAAAATAAAATATTATTTATAGATTCTTAACATTTAATGTATACATAAAATTTTAAACCATATATAATATAATATTTAAGTTAAAATTTTAACAAAATATAACAATGTCTATTAATAATAATTACATCTAAAATAAAAAGTATCAAATTAATATAATATAAATTATAAACAATAAAGATATTAAAAATTATAATTTATAATTTTTTATTAAAAACATTTTTAATATAATTTTTTAACTAAACTGGTTCAATCCGGTTTGATCGATTTTTTTACCGATTTCTACCAAATCAATGCAGAATGATTTCTCTAGCCAACTGAACCAATTTCTAGCTAAATCGGTGCGATCAGTCAATTCAGTCTGATTTTCAAAACTATACCCTCAACTAAACTAAAAAAAGGCTGGGCCACCTAAAAAATTGTGTTGAGTTCCACAACTATTGATGCCCTTAATCAAATGTACATATAGAATGCAAACTGTCATTAGACATTTTTCCCAGAATTTCAAATAATGGCAATGCAATTATTCTTGACTATAAATAAATAAATTGTGTACAATCCCAAAGCATTCTAAAATTCAAAAATAAAAAATAAAAAATAAAAAATAAAATATACTTGGTGAGGCACCACAAAATCTTATTGTGATTGCCATCAATGTCCAACTTATATATACCTATTAAAGAGATAATTTTAATCTACCTCTCTTCAACGTCACACAAGAAGTGATTACCAGTTAATCAAATCAACAAACTACGTTGATCCAGACCTATTTAGTCTCTCCCAAAAAAATATTTTACTAATCAGTGTTTTCTGCTGCCTCTGGGCTTAACATCCTTACCTGTGAAAAAGTCAAGTGAAGTCAGTTGGATATAGCTGGTTTAGTAGGATGGAGAGATATCTTAATATGAAAATATAAAATACACATATCAGAAGCCTCCAATAAATGGAAATACTAGAAAACATGTAAGGCATGCTATTTTGAAATGCAAATAGAGATTATTATAAAAAATTAAATTAATGTTAAGATCTATTGCCATCTTTTATTTATTGTCTATCTTAAGCAACAGCCAACAGTCACAGTGCCACCTTTAAATCTGCCAGCTCGGGACAAAGCTTCTTCTGCTAGAGGTCTCCACTGTTCTGCACAAGAATAATTGATTCCAAGTCCAACGCTAAGTCCCCTCAGTAGATGAACTGTCCGAAGTACAGAAAACAGTTCTTCTGGAAAAGCCTGTCATAAACAGGCACAGAAAAAATTGAAAATTTAGTGAATAACAAGAAGCAGCATAAAATATTAACAGGCTATTACCTGCTTATTCCTTCACTATAAATATCATTAACTAGCGTGCATCAATAGTAACTACTGTATTTAATAATTGCTTTAGTGCCAATATATTTTCATCTACTAATAATGAGTCGCCGAAAAAGATCGCCACCACCAAACTTGGACGTAAAAGAGACTAGACTCTTTTACATATTTTAGTTACTGTAACATTCAAAACTACCACTCTATAGGTACACAAAACACAGATTCACCAAAACAACTAAAATATGATATTAAACTCTGGAACATTTCTTAGAGGTTACTAGGGGAGTTAACAACCTTGTAGACTTGTTCCAGTATAGTAGGGCTTCTGCACTTTTTATTCAATCGCCCCTCTCTCAAGAAAACAAATAAATCATATCTACAAATTCTTTTAAAATATCAAATTTTCCTGTCTCCTCCCTCTTTTACTTAAGTCCTCCCAGGATTAGTTTTTTTTTATTTTAAAAAAGAATCCATAACTAACACCTCTGACACCTCAAAGTGAGGTGGGTTTTAATTTTCAATGTGCAACAGAATAACCTGACAAATTTGATACACTGATCTGTCCCCTGATTAATAAAAACACCAACTAAAATAGATTAAGTAGTATTTTAAGCAGCAGATATCCCATATCACATCAAGTATGTGTGATCTCCAAGAACAAATGGGAAAAAGAAAATTGAATTCTAAGACATACCATAACACCAACTTTTTTAATTGAAGAATCCTCTGAGAAAGGTTGCAGCATTGTCACCCCAGGAGGCAATTTTGTATCAAACATCGTCTCCGCTAGTTTAAACAATTCCTGTTGCTCATTTTCACAGTTGCTCAAGGTTTCTATACCAAGCTCCCTATAAAATCAAACAAGTAGTTAGATAATTTAATTTAAACATATCCACTGACTGATCGTCATTTTCAATTCAAAATTATGGTTTAAAAGTCCACTTTAACTGTGTTCACCCCTAACTCACCATAGTTGCAGCCTCTTCTGGGTGTTGTCTTAATTGCAGCCTCAAGGGTAGTGTTTATACCCACATTGACTAGAGATATAGCTTAAATAAAGCTTATAAAATAAGACAATTTTGTGGAGTTGAGTTAGATCTTAGGCCTCAATTCTAAGAAATATCTATAGTGGCATAAAAAATAAGAAAAAATCAACTTTAGAAAAGGATACCAAGGTTATATATACTATGGGCATCAGATTTTGACCCTTTTTGGATTTCATATCAATTCAGGGTTTGTATCTTCAATTTTAGCAAAGACAAGTAGAGATTCAAGTCACGGTTTCTTGGATTTGGCTCTACAAAAGAGATTAAGGGAGCATCCACCCTTGACTTAAAAGCAGGTTTAAGTTTATTATATATTTTAATTTAAATTAAGGGAAAATACATCCTTACTTTCTCACTGTAGTGGAGTCAAATCCAGTTTCTTTTGTCTTGGTATAATGAGAGCAATTTAGAATGCCATTAAACTATTTGATACCAATGAAGAATTAAGCAATATAGATTTCTCATTTTTTCCAACCCTTTAATTTATTTTTTCTCCTCTCTAGTCTTCTTTCTCTCTTAGTATCTCTCAAATCTATTTGTCATTATACATCAATTATTCCCCGCAGCACTGCTTGTGCAGTTTGTATCTCAGTATTAACTAAAGATATTTGTTTCTGTTCTTATTTTCATCAAACAAGAGAGCATTAGATATAGATAAGACGAGCAAATCTCAGTACCTATAGCTCTCTGCAGCTCTTAATGGGTCACCATTAGCAATTGCTAGAACTAGATTAGCATAGCCAAGCCTCAACTGTTCTGGGAGATCCTTCACCTGCCCATAGTCTAGCAAGGCAACCTGAATTGAGGGAATTTACTAGCATTAGGATGGTGACTTAAAAGTTAATATATATATATATATATATATATATCAGGCATCAATATCTAAAACTAATTTTTAATATTCTACCCATGACTACAAGTCATTCCATATGTAATTCCTCTTGATTAAAACATCTATACAATAACATTAGGATTGAAATACCGCTCGAGAGATATTAGAAAATAAATATAGCTGATGACTTGCCTCCGATCCTTTACAAATCAGGATATTTCCAGGATGAGGATCTGCATGGAAGAATCCACTTTTCAAAATCATTTGACCATATGCTAGAGTCAAGCTTTGAAGAATTTTCCTGCACTTTTATAAAACTGTTAATAGTGTAATACACCTAAAACTACATATATGAAAAATCATCTACGTTATAAATCTTCTGGAAGAAGGTTTGTGTTATTGTTATTAAAACTTAATGATCCTCTCTTTGTTATCTGATTCTGACATTTGAGTACATCCCCCTAAAAATTATCAGGACAGAAACCAAATATGTTCGAAGTTGAATAATGAGTTCCAAGATTTATCAAATCCATATTAGCCTTGCAATTTATTAATTTATTATAGTTCTCCTTCAGAAGTATTACAATTTTCTAATTCATTGTTTACACCAAATGTATGGCTTAATTATTTTAAAAGTATAGGTTCAGTTAAGCATCATTGTATGCACAGCAATTGAACTTGGAACTAAAAATCATTGTAGGAAATCAGTACCATGTTCCAAATTTTATTGTTTTCACTTTTTCAAGAGTTTAATAAAATTTATCCATAGAAAATTCAAATGTTTTCAAGTATAAGGAAAAGCAGCAAGCACGCACATTCATTTGATTTATACAGGATATGTTGCTAAAAGACACTGATTTGATTATTCATGATAGAGGTTTTGCATACTGAACTTTAGTGCATTTAGTTGGAGCTGAATGCTCACATATCTTTAAGGGCCTCATGTTGATCTCTTGATTCTCTTCAACTAATTATGGGATAGGATTAGGTTTATGACGTGACATTCTTCTCATGGTTAGGAGTGGCCATTTATGACATTAAGAGTTGCTGCATTCTTAATTTTATTCTTGTTTATGCTGTCTTTTTATTTTGAAGAACGTCATATCCTTCCCACTAGTTTTACTTTCCTTCTCATTAATTTATTTTTGTACGCAAAAGTAAAAGAGACACCAATGAATGAGTGAATAAGTTTATATTGGTGACTCAAATAGACAAGAAAGCTAAAAAGCAAATGTTCATAAGTCAGAATTTAGGTCACGTATAGGTTATTAACTAAAAAGTGTGGTGCAGAAAACTACTTTTAGGATATATAGCTCAGGAGCTTACTGCTTTGCTGCTGCTGCAACCTTACCACGAGGATTTATGCCTCTCTTTGCTATTTCATCACCAAGATTCATTATCGGAATCCCATCAATATATTCCATAACTAGGACCCTTCTGTACAATTCAAGAAACACATCATTACTTAAAGAAACTCATCGCAACTGAAATACATGTGAAGCAATACGTCTGAGTAGAACTTTAACCAAGAAAATATAAGTATTGCACTTTTCTTGGCTATTTGACCAGGATCGAACATGTAACATAGAATTTTTTATTTTTATTTTTCCATACCGAATATCTATTCTTTATTGTTTTCTGTTCAACCTAGTTTTTATCAATAAGTGGTCTTTTCATAAAATATCATAGAAAGTTAAAAAGTTAATAGTGACATGCTTGATACACGGCACTGAATTTTAGGTTCTGATTACTGCACAACTTAACTGAGCGCTACCATTCATGTTTTTTCAATTATTTTAATTTTAGTATTTTGCCCAAAAAAAAACGAAATATTACCTAAATGGCTAAATTATTCAATTAGCAAAACGAGCTTGCCAAAAAACTCATGTGATTAAATAAAGAAATTAGTAAAGCTAGCATGCACTGCCACATAACATGTAATTGGACTTTGGAGACGAGCTATATTTAAAAAATATCAATCATTTCTGAAACAGACATACATTCCAAGTCCAACGAATAAATATCTGGCTCTTCTCATTGAAAATAATATAGTGATTTAAGCATTCTAGTCCTTTACTAATGTTACCTTATCCAGATTATGTTAGATTTTGGTCTACATAGCATACCTAGTAACCATATCTCGTATTACTCGTGGCACCAAAACAGGAGTCTTTTTGTTATTTTGATGCAAGAACTTTCTAATCCGTTCCATTGCATCAGCTTCCCTCATGAAGTCAAATTCATATCCAATCTAAAATGTCACAAATCATCAAGTAGATGTTCAGAACTTGTCATGATAAATTGAAGGAAGAACCTCAATATTAACATGACTATGGAGCTATAAGCATAGTAAAGAAACTAAATGATTAATAGAAAATTCTAAGACAATCAACTAAAAGGTAGATGGGGGTGGGCTTTGTTTTCTCAAGCATCAAACCTGTGTCATTCATTGATAAAGTACTTTTAGTTCAGTATTCTATACATGACTTACATGCTAACGGAAGAGATACCTGTTCAGTTTTCTTTAGAGAACTAATATATTTCTTTTATACAAAATATATGTAGCATAAACAAATAAAAGCCTGCTAAAGTGTAAATTCCTATTTTCCTCCCAAATCCTCCTAAGTAAAACAATTTAGGAAAGAAAAATTAGATGATAGTCAATAATTAAATAAACATTCCCTCCAGAAGTACAATCATTACATTCATAAAGATTCAGTTGAGATTTAATCACAAAATACTCCAAGATACCTCCATCAAGATGGTGACATCTTGCCCTTAGACAGAAAATCATTTATACTTTACTAGGGGGAGGGGGAGGAATTGAAGGGAGAGGGAGAGAATAAATGAGAATTGATTTGATAAGAAATAGGCAAGAAATAAAGCAAAATAAAGTGAAATTTGTAGTTGATTAGTAGAGTGAAATTAGGTGAAAAATAGAGGGAAGTTGATATTTTAAAATTGTACTTTATATATTAGATTTTTATGTAAAAATAAATAATATATACAATTACCATTTTACCTTTCTCTGTTTATTCATGTATGTTTCTATCTACCATTTTTGTTGTATGAGCATAATGTTAGATTTTATCATAAAACTAATTGACATTAAATAAAGTTTCCCAACAGATATATAAACCACACTTAAAGAATTGAGGTAGGCATGTGGGACTTCCTAACACCCACCCTTCATAGATGCCTGTCGAACCAAGGGATGCCTACTAGAATAGGCAAATCAAGAAGATGGGTTTTAGTCTCAGATACCATGTTAGATTTCATCTTAAAATCAATTGACATTAAGCAAAGTTGCACAATAGATATATAAACTGCACCCGAAGAACTGAGGTAGACAATGTGAGACTTCCTAACACATAATTCATATTGGAATATGGTAATTTTTACGTTAGAAGATAGTAGCCATCGAAATATGAGTATAATGTACACATTCTACCATAAAGCATTACCCATACTAGCAAGTTATGGGCGCATAAAAAACAAAGGAAACAGATGATTATTTTTGTCTTTGCCAGAGAATTCCACAACAATCCCCTCATCCTAGAGGGTAATTTTTTAACCCATGGGACCCACCTTCATTTCCACACAAATATCCACAAATTCACCCTCACAAGCACATATGTTTTTCCTAAATACCCTCTAATCCATCCCCCTCCCCTCAAATACCTCTAAATCTACTCCCCCAAATACAGTGTTAATGTGATTCATTCAAAAGCACATAAAACAATTAGGTAAAAGAGGTCAGACATGTTTAGAACTTCCTTACCACTTGATTGTATAATATTCTTTTTAATTCATAACATGTTTCCAGTATGAATTGCATCCAAATTCCAAAACCTATCAGTCATGCATCACACATAATGAAGGTGCACAAGTACATTTTAATCTTAATAGGACCTTTTATTTTAATCTGTAATAGAAAAACAAATCCAGCAATGTGTTTGTTCCTTGATCAGGATGCAACTTATAAACAAACCCATAAAACGGGAAGAAAACAGGTGGGAATAAAATAATCCACATAGATTAAAGAAATAAAGTCCACCTGTTTTTCCATTTCCTTAGTCACTGAATATAGATCAAATTTGATATCTGTCTTTTGCATATACAAAGCAAAAGCTTGCAAGTTATGGATATCCGTCATCATCAAATCCTGAATTCCAGGATGTTGAACCTATTATTTGCAAGAGAAATCAGAATCTGAAGTTTGTTGTCTCAAAACCGTTGGGGTTATTAGCTTTAATTACCTTGACAACAACATCACCATTATCACCTTTCAGTCTTGCTCTATGAACCTAATATGCACACAAGACATAAGTCAGTTACATGGTACTGAATGCCAATATAAATTTAAGACTCGCAAAATATGCTTCTTTTACTGACAAATCACCCTTCTGAGGAGTTATGAGATATAGACATGAATATGAACCCCAAGATGCAAAGCAATTTGTTTAGATTTTACAATACTGAAAAAATACAATGCTATATATCCAACAAGGTTTTTACACATCAAAATCATTCTCCCACCAACCAGATCGAATTGCATTAGCATAATGAAATAGAAATTTAAATATAAAAAAGGAGAGAAAATAGTTTAAAAATAGTACGTATGGAAAATTTTGTTTAATTTCATAGAAATAACCCTAAGTGGCCCTTGATTAACATAAATTATGCACTTAAAGTAAATGAACACTGAAGCAAACATAGTGGATGCATACTAAACCAACTCTAACTTCAAGAGTCACTGGCTATGGTCTCTGATGAATCAAGCTTAGTTGCAAGAGTAGTGGTAGTGCCTTTTGATAAGGCTTTATCAGCAAAGGCAAACGATGAATTGAAGAACAACGTGAATTACATTCAACCCAACATTATTTCAAACACACGCTAACTAGTTGGTTTGTACTTCTTATGGACGGTTTTCTATAACTGCTATTTCTTGGAGCTGCGTCCACCTTTGCACATCATAAATAGCAGTGAGCTTGTTTCTCCTTTTAGCCGAAACATTAAACAATATAAACCAACCTCTTGGAAACACTCAGAGTAGCGTTACAAGTACCGTGTGACACGTGTAGGGGTCACAGATCCCTCCAATGACCTGAGGGGCCGCAGCAACCCCCCCCCCCCCCCCCAAAAAAAAAAAAATTGGGAAAAGAAAGAGCCAATATTCATTGTTTTATGTGATTGCTTTGTATAGAAACCCATAGCCAAAATCCAAATACATAACAATCACAAGTGAAGCCCCAACCAATCCACCTCTTACTTAGAACACATATAAAAAGTCATTGGTTCATTCAAATTTAGTATTTGTAACTGTTGTTAGCAGCAAAATCAAGATAAAACATAACCAGCCTTTCCAATATTGTTGAGTCTCCAGCTAAGCCCCCCCCCCCCCCACAAAAAAATGTCGGGTCCAAAAGGGAACTAAATTGTTTTCTATAACTAGTGTCCTAACAAATCATCGCAAGCATGCATAAACACTTGTTCTTGAAGGAAAAAGAATAGTAGTGTAATTCAAATGATAATAGGTTAGAAGTTTAACATGTACCTGAGCAATTGAAGCAGAGCCAAGGGGTTCCACATCGAACCTGTCAAACACATCATGAATACCCTGTCCCAGCTCATTCTCCAGCACTAGTTTCACCGCATCAAAAGGGGTTGGAGGAGCCCTATCACATAGGGTAACAAGCCTTTTCACCCACGCAGACGGGGCCAAATCAGGCTTCCCTAAAATTTGCGCAATCTGTTCCATATTTTACACCACATCAAATCAACACAACAAACAATCAATCATAAGAAGAAGAAAAAAAATTAAAAAAAGAGTAACATGTTGGAAGACCTTGAGGAAGAAACCTCCGAGGTCAGAGCACATGGCGAAAATCTTATCGGCAGCAATCTCGTGCTGCCTCTCCCACATTGCTTCCTGCTTCTGCGCATCTCTGACGAAATTCACTCTCACTTGAAACACCTGCTTAATAATGAATGAACATTGTAATCGAAGCCAAAACATGCAAAGTTAGCGAGAGAGAGAGAGAGTGACCTTGTATCCGGTGTAAATGTCAATGGCTCGAACCCAGAATTGGAAGGAGCGTTGCCAAGGACGCAACTGAAACGACACCTTATCTTTTATAGCGTTGATATCGATAGGAGGCAACATGGTGCGCCTCACACTCCCTAGCGCACACAAATACCATGTACCATTTAATTATATACAATATATTCTGTGCTCCTTACTCCTTAGTCCTTACTTCTCAACTCAACTCACTGTGTGCCTCATAAACCATCAAATTGGATTTCACTAACTCACTCTCACTTATTATACTTTGCTTGCAACCCTGGTTTTAGTCATACCCAAAAATACGTGAAAAAGGTCGTTGGAACATTACCTACTATGGATAACTTTGCCTCTTTTTCAGAACACCTTCTTCACATCTACATGCTTTTCATTTTAGCACCACACATGAATATGAATATGAATATGAATACGAATATGGTTAGTTGGTGGGTTCAATTTTTTTGTTTTCCTGTCTCCTCACATCTCATCTATTTAATGCGCCTTATTTTGTGCTTAATAATTTTTTTCAAACTTTAATTTATTACTAAATATTTAACACTTCTCATAGTCATTGGGCTTGCAATGTTTTAACAAAATATGTTTATTAACTGTATTTATTTCTTTATTTTGATGTATGTCTATAAATTTAATTTAAGTTTTGAATGTACAAAATTTAATATGTGTATAGTAGGTATAAAGAAGGGGGCGGGTGTCATTTAAATTCATTTAATAGAGTGATTTATTGCATTCATTATATCAATTCGAGTTGTGAACACTCTTAATTATATACATAAAATCCTTAGAGAAAGTAATTTTAACCATAAAAATTATTTCTAAAAAAAATTGATCCCTCTTTTGACCATAAATACTTCCATTTTTTAATTACTTTTATATTTCTTTGTTCATTTAGAACGTCCGGATACCATATCAATATCATCTATTTAATTAGCTATGAAAAAGACAAGTTTTTTAATTTATATAACAAAAATTATTATAAATAATTTTTAATATATAAATTATACTATAATTGAAACATGTTATAAAAAATATTATTAACCATTTAAATTATGTTTTAAATTTATTATAGATAATTTTTATATATTGATCATTTATTTAAAAAAATATATTAAAATTTAATTTAAAATAACAAATAATAGATTAAAAAGAGATAAAGAAAAAATTTAAGAAAAACTTTCTAAAAATGTTTTCATTAAAAAATAACTAAAAACTCTCTTATTATAAAATTGTTCATAAAAAAATATTTTTAGTCTTTATATTTAATGGATCATTACAACTCGAATAATTGAACAATTAACTATCTATTTAATTTTTTTTATAAAAAATATTAGATATGTGTTTGTTTTTACGTTCATTACAAATCAACGTAAAATCATTATTTCACTTGCTTCTACATTTCTATCTCAAAAATTGAAAAAAAATATAAGTTAAACAATGTTAAAACATTAAAACAAACACACTCTAATAAATATGAACTCCATTTTTCTCCTAGTTATATAAAGACAACATTTCTTTAATCAAAATAATATTGCTTTGGTTTTTAAAAGTAATATTATGTCTTCCTATAAATATCTTAATACTCTATCAGAAAAAAATAAATATATTTATTGCTTTCAAAACTTAAACAACATCTAATACTTTCTTTATGTTATTTTTTTTTCAAATACTATCGTTTCTTGCTCTATATAACTAGAAAAACAAATATTCACCAGAATGACCCCCCCCCCCCCAAAAAAAAAAAATTTTTT